TGTGGATCCTAATCCTATTCCAGCAGGGAGCTAATGCTGGAAAAGCACCTTAGAGAGCAAGGGTGAGCTCTCCAAGTATAATTACAGAGCTCTGCTTGCAGATCCTTCAGGTTTGGATCCACCCAAAATAATCCAATCTACAAATCCCTTCCTTACTAGCAATGGGAAAGGGCTCAAATTGAGATCAATTATCAAAAAGTCTTATTCTTTGCCTAAGTGCAGTCTGGTCTTCCAAGGATCCATCTGGAAGAGTGTGGATCCTAATCCTATTCCAGCAGGGAGCTAATGCTGGAAAAGCACCTTAGAGAGCAAGGGTGAGCTCTCCAAGTATAATTACAGAGCTCTGCTTGCAGATCCTTCAGGTTTGGATCCACCCAAAACAATCCAATCTACAAATCACTTCCTTACCAGCAATGGGAAAGGGCAGTTCATTGTTATTTTTTTAAAAAAAAAAAAAAAAAAAAAAAAAAAAAAACACCTGTAAACACCTGCATCTTACTACTGCCTAGCTCCTGACAATAATATAAAACAAAACATCTCTTTACTCTTAAACAGTATTAATATGATTATATTTTAGTATTGTAGTATTATTGAATTGCAATAATACTGTATTAAATATTTAATAGCACTAAGTAGTTAGTTAGTTGCAGTAATTCAGGAAAAATGTCTTACATAGCAATCAAATTTACTATTCATGTGGCCTATTTGTTACTTGTCATTACTATCTTTGTTTGCAGTGAATAAAGAGAATATATAGGGTAGTAGCACATCATATTCTGGCACTGGCAGGATAACAATTTTTGCATTTCTCAAAAAAAAATCTATATTGGCAAGATAACAGTTTGCCAAGGTTTTTATTAAAATATTCTCCATCTCCATTGGTTTGTGTCTACAACTGGGATTCAAATTGAGCCTGCGTTCTTCCTTCTAGAAGGACCACCACATAACACAAGTTTGAGATGCAGGTAAACAGTTCTAAAGGAGGATACAGACTGCACAGAGACCCTACTTCCACATTTCTGCTCCAAGCTCCATTCGTGCATTGTAATCCTTTCCCTGGGCTGCTAAAGATGCAGCATGGAGCTGCGGGAGCCGTTTCTCACAATTAAACAGATGTGTTTGATAGCCATAAGTCAATATAACATCATTTACTTTCCTTGCTTTCAATGGATAGGGTATTTGAGACTAAGTGACCATAAACGAGAGAAATCAGTCTTTATTATCTTGCAAATACAACTTTTGATGCCAGAAGGTAAGCAAGAAAGAGAAGTGGGGGTGATGTTGGTAAAATATAGGCACGGCAGGTTGCATGGCAGACTCAAACGTGGGCAACCAAGCCACAACGGGGCTGATTGAAGAGGCTACTGCCCTCTGACGTCCCCTGCCCCACCAGGAAGGCTTCTTCCCTCCAATACCTGTAGCCTTTTGCTACATAAAGCGTAAAACCACCCACTTCATTTGACACAAACACACGGAGCTACAACCTGCAGCCGCTGGGAAGCAACAGGCGCTTGTACTGCCTGTGCAACAGCCACAATAGCCCCTGGCAGAGGTGCAAGGTGTTGGCAGCAAAAAATCAGTCCCTAAATCGTCCCTACGGTAGCCACCCAAACCACGAGCAACAACATGACCAGTGAAAAGGCGAGTCTAATCAAGCAGCAGGGAAATGTCCCACAAAATGTCCCACATTTTTTTTCTGCACACCCTTCTGTTAAGGCTTTCTATTCTCTAACACAGCCCAATACCCAGTACATGCTCAAACACTGTTGACTACTGATTTTGTTCCATCTAAAGACCCATGGCATTCATTATAAGTCATGATTTCGAGAACAGCAAAGAGTTTTCAAGGAATAAAAGTGATCCTCTGAACAAGGGCTAACCTACAGAAATGAATTCCAGGAAAAAAATTATTTCACTCTGCAAGTAGATTAATTGCACATGAAATAAAAGTGATAGTTACACTTTAAAGAAATCTGTCATGCATATTTAATCAGAGCTTTGCTATAGAAAGTGGTCTGTAATAGCACAATTACTGTACAGTATTGCTCATTCCCTACAGATACGGGAGGAAAACAAAACACCACTGAAGGATGCTGGATTTGTTGAAGGGTTAGTTCTTGCCTGATACTCAATCAAGAGGTGGCAATCGGCTGTTCTCTTTCATTACAATTTCAGCACAATCTCTATTCACTCCTAGTTATTGCAACAGTTTGGCCACCCCCCATCCACCTCCTCCCTTTCCACCAGAGGGGATAACATCACGGATCCCATCAGTCTGTCACCTACCACGCAAACAATATCAAATTAAATTCCAGCGTTTGGCCCAGGACGTCACAAGGAAGGTAAAAATAGCTCTTAACTACATTTCCTATTTTAGCTTCTAAACTACAGGAAACTGAAGAAAAGGCCACACTTCCCAAAAGCCCATGCATGAGTAAAAGCACATACAGTACTTAAAACTGAAGCAGAGAACTCCCTTTTTGCTACCGCTGGACTTAAAGGATAACCAAATTCCAGCAATGAGCTCAGCCCATCACCAGTGGTTTTTTTTTTTTTTGCTTGCTTTAACCCCACCAGTGTTTCTAAACTCAGGATCTGAAAATCTTACTGTCAACAACATGCCACTACGGCATCAGGCAGCGAATCCACGACAACTTGCCAGGCTCTTTGGCACTGACTGCTGCAACAGAGAACACAGAGGCATGAAGGCTTTTGAAGAAAGGAAGATTTACTAAGCATGGAAAAAAAAATAGAGGTGGTGGTGGTTTTTGGTTCTTTGGGTTTTTCTTTACATTTATTTTATGTGCAAAGCTTAAGGCTACAACTTGCATAGACTTCTTGCAAACTAATCATAATAAAAGGGAGAATACTCAGGGTTGAATATTTGTTTTCAGGCATCTGGGCAAAACTAACACTACTATCAAGCACTGCCAGGTGAGCACCTGCAGCTCAGTGGAAGCTGTATTTAAACAGGAAAACATTAGTCTTTTGAGGATCCCCAATTTGCATCATATGAAAGCATGAGAGTTGTTGAATGGATTTTAAGGACCAAAGACTACGCAATACTAAAACTGAACTTCACAAGTCATAATGACATTTTTCTTGTTCACAGTTTTGGGAGGCTGCTGTTATGCTGATACAGATGCTAAGATTGGTCTAAAAATCCAAGTTAAGATCATTACCACTCTCCTGAAGAACCCACACAGTGCAAGTCCAATGGAACAACAAAAAAAAAAAAAAAAAAAAAACACACGCCATTCTCGAGCATCCAAGAAAATAAATGCTGCACAGTATGTGTTTGGCACCCAGATAAATGTTTTGGCTATGTATATGGTACCCCATACTATCATTCACCACTTGACATACCCCATCTTAGGATGAAGAAAACCTGAACGGAACAGGAGGAAAATATATATATGTGCATTTACACACACAGAGGTCCTGAATTTTGGCACACTACGAGAAGACTGGATAGGCTGTGAAACATAATGTGGAAATAATAATATGCAGAGCTAATATTTTCCACTGTTACCACCACTCTCAAGCCAGTTGCCACATGTGCCAGGCTTGTTTACAAGCTGTTTTTATACCATTTTATGACTTTACCAGTTTGGGTACCTATATTGCTGGAGCAGTCGGTAAGAAACATATGCAGTCAGAGCCCTTAGAAAAGGATGCAAGAAGCTGACAGAATAGTCAGCTTATGAACATACTTTCTGAATATACTTTCAGTATAGTAACATTTAATCTTAAATCCCAACAGTCCACAATACATGACTGTAGCTAGTAAATACTGCGTCCACTGCAGTGCTCCCAAAATTAAAGTACAAAAGAACCTTTACTAGTGATATAGCAGCTTTGTAGATTTTTTAGGAAGATTGCTACAGTACTTAAGTTTTCAAACTTTAATAAACTACAATAAACTCTCTCTGGGAAAGTAAAGCTGATTGAAAAAGCATCAGCAGTGCACACTTGAACTGAGCACCAAGGAGGTTATTTCCAACAAAAAGTCTGCATTATGGCTGGAAAATATATCAAGTATCATGGACTGACAAAATTTTAATGTTCCACAAATCCTGGACTTGTAATGCAGAGGTGTGAACTACCAAGAACTTAGTCAAATTAATAAACAAAGAACAGACTTCAGCTTTACTTCCACAGCAGCAGAGACAGGAAAGATACTGAGTGGGTATCAGTTTCACTCAGACAACTTGATCTCAGGGTTGTGGTGGGGAGTAAAAGATCTTTCACACGCAAAAAAAGATGTCAGGAAGAAAAAAAAAAAGCATAAGAGAAAACAATAGCAAAATGTTTTATTTTTTCTCATGAACCACACCCAAAGGTTGCAGTGCACACAGAAGAGGAGAAGTTCACGAACGCTCATTCCAACACTTTCTTGCTCTCCGCCACCCCCGATTTCAGTCCTCATTTTACCTGCTATATCTTATGTATGTTTTCTTCATATTATACAACAAATCCGTACTGCGATAGAGACCAATTTGGGGTTTTTTTTTGTTTTTTTGTTTTTTGTTTTTTTTACTGTTAATGCAGAAAGCCTCTGACACAGTATTAGGCCCTAACTGCTAATCACAGCTCCACCACGTTATCCACATTCAGATAAGAAGCTGAGCTGGCAGTCAGATAAAAGTGTGAAAATAAGATGAGCTCAAGTCTGATTTGCAAATCCACCTCAGCTTAAAGTGTGAACGATAACTTCCCGTGCTTTGCTAATATAATACGTCTCTCATCATCTATTCAATTCCATCGTAGAGAAACATAAGCATTAAATTCCCCCTACTAGGTCATCTGCAGTTTTCAAAGTGCAGGTTTTTACCCATTAAGTTTCCTTTGGTCCTGGTCAGAAATTTGGAGGAAGGAGGATCCTCAAAGCGTATTTTGAACTCAAAAGGCGCAACATAAAGAAAACAACCTCAAATTGTAACTCCGTATTGATGCATTTAATCAACCCCAAGAAAAACCCGGTGCAAATGGGGTCTTACCTTATCCTTTTCGTGGGGAAGGAGACACACTGGAGGGAGACAGGAAAGAGACTCGCAGCTCTCCTTCCCGTCAGCATTAGTGGTTGCCTTAGTGTTGAGCTGATACAGAGGTCCATCTTTGAGCAGCCTCCCATGGCCAACCGCACGCTTGACGGCTAATCTTAATTGCTGGTGGAAAATGGAGGCAGCGCTACCTCCAAACAACGCAGACACATCTTTCTGCCCCTTCAGAAAGCGCTCGATGTTCTTCAAGGACGAGCCACTAGACTCGGCCAAGCCCTCGATGGCGCGTTTGATAAGTTTATTCCAGTCCACGTTTGGTTTACCATCCAACTTTCCATGGTTGCGAGGCTTTGGAAGTGCTATTCTCCCAGGATTATCAGGATCCTTGTAGGAATTGAGACCTTTGTTGGAGACTTTTAAAATAGTTCCATCCTTAACACTCAACTCTAACTGTTCCAGAACAGTTTTGCGGTCCAAACCGTGTGATGAAGATACTGCATTGCATATCCTCTCCTCTGAAGGACGCTGTTTTTGTTTCTTTACCTTTTTGATCGCCTCCAAAATCCACTCCGTATACAGGGGGTTGGCGAGTTTTACCATGGTGAAGAATTCTGTATATCCATAGAGTCGTTATCCTTTATCCCGATGCTGAATAAGTTTCACACCGTGGGAAAACAGATTCTCGGATGATGGGAAACAGTTAACCATAGCATACACGTTTTCTGTCCTGAATTACTCCTCCTTTCTCAAACATGAATTGTTTTCACACTGAAGAGAAGAAAGCAAAAGAATTATAAGTTTCCTCATTCTTTCTAGGAAATCCCGTAACAGCTTCAGAGGAAGTTTTCCCACAAAGATACAAAGATTTCAGCACATCTCACCTCAACTTTGGGTCTTTACACTCACAGTCAGAGTAACTGTAGCATTAAGCCTGGAAGAAAACAACAAGAGTCATTTCCAAAGAATAAATAATCGTAAAAAAGCCTACAATAAGTCACCAAAGACAGAGTTTTTCATCCACTACTCCAGTTCTAAAACACTGTATATAGCTAAGGTTATATATTTAATGCAAATCAAACACAACTTGAAATAACTAAATCAATACATTGTAGTGGAGAGGAAAAAATAAGGATCAGAAGTCACTCAACATAAAACTCAGTGCAGAATTAGATGACCATAACCTACATTAATGGGGGAAGGAGGGGAAACAAATTCATGGATTTTTAAAAAGCAGCCGCTCTCACAATTTTTGTATACTGAAGACAATACCCAGAATTTAAATGGAAAGGAGCAGAAATTGTCAAGAGCCCTGAGCAAACAGCAAGAGGGAAACTTTCAGAACTCTTCCAGGAACGTAATCATAGGTCTGGGTCCCTCCTGCTAAGAAAGGCTATGACAGTTGTTCCATCAAGGGGAGAAAAAAAAAAAAAACACCACAGTGAAAAGAAAGAACACAACTCGAGATTGTAATTAAACATACCACTTCCAGAAACCATAGACAAGAAGAACACAACAGTGCAATCTTCCACAGGCAAGACAAACTGAGAACACTTGGGGACAAAGTAACAGGTGACCATACACAATGAAGGGGGGACGTTTGTGTCACCACTAACTAAAGGTGCAGATGGCTCCCAGGCTCTACTTCGCTGTCTTTGGAAGAAAGAAAGAAAGAAAGAAATAGGGGGGGGGCTGCTTTTTCTGCTCGTGCTAATACACCAGGCCACAGCTCCACAGTGGAGGCACGCTAACCCTGGAGGATTTATAAACTGTTTACAGGAATAAAGGCTTCATAGGAGGGAAGTTTCAGCTCGGAGTTAAGTTGTCAACACGGCGCTCCGGCGCTCCTGCTTTCGAGGAAGCGCCGGCGAATCTCCCCGCACGCGAA